GGCAGATAAAGGGCTTGGCTTGACCCAAGAGGAGCTGAGCACCCACCTAAGTCTGCGTGTTTCATGCTGTCCCATGGGTCTGTCAGCATGGCTGCATCCAATTTATGTCTGAAACACAGATGCAAAGGAGTAACCACACACAGGGGGTCACAGTCGTCTTCCTTCCCCTCAAAGGGGCAGGGAAAACAGTGCTTTCCATCATCCCAGCTGACACGAGGCTGCCCTAAGGGCTGTGACATCCCCTGTTACACACACACGGGCAGAATCAAACACAACAGGGCTCAAGGGACACCACTGAAACTGCAACAACAAAAAACCCAGAGACCAAAACAGGGCTAAAACCTGCATTCCAGTCACTCCCGGTGGCCATCACTCTGGTTTTATCACACCTCAATGGACAGGACCCCCCTTCTCTCCCCACACCACCACTGATGATACCTTTTGACTTTAAAGGGATTAGTGAGGCCAGGTGTGTCCAGAATGACCTAGAAAGACAAATCTTGTAAGTTTGCCTGCAGCCTGTGATCAAGCCCAATTTATTTGTGCAATCAGAAGGATATAAAGAGAATATACGATAGAAATTATGGGATATAAATAGAGAAGTATATATGGGTGTAAACGGGGCACCCCCCCCCTCACTTCTAAGGCTTCCCAGCGCCGCAGCCCGAGCAGGGCAGCTCACCAGCTGCGTGTCCTCGTGGGTGACAACGCCGCGGGCCTTGCATCGCGTTGTGTGCACTTTCTTGGAGACAGGGAAGACCTGCAGCAAACCAAACCAACCCCAACCCATCGGACACGAGGGACTCGCACCAAAGAGAGGGCCTGAACGCCCTGAGCCCGGTGCTGCGCCCCGGCCTCACCTTCCTGCCCAAGAGCTGATTGCACAGCGTGGACTTGCCCGCGTTGGGAGCCCCGATGATGGCGATTCGGAGCACCTTGGGGTTGCGGGGCTGGTCGGGCCGACCCCGCAGGAGCCGCTCCTGCTCCTCTATGGGGGGGAAAGGAGGAGTTTGAACGCTGTTAACCCCCACCGAGAGAGAGAGCCGGCATCACCGGTGGGACCGGGACCGGGACCGCTCACCTCTGCTGGTGGCAAGGGGCGGCGGGTGCTGGCCCAGCGCTCCGGACGGCTTCTCCGAGGGGACCCCCAGGATGCTGCCCAGCGCCGAGCTGCTCCCGCTGCAGCGGGCGGGCCGCGGCACACAGCTGGAAGGGGCTGGAAGGAAGCAGCGCAAGGAATGAACCGAGAGCACCCAAAGCCGCGTTACCCCGGCCCCGCTGCTCCGCATCACACCTGGGCCCAGCCGGAGCGGTCCCGCCGCTGCGGCCCGCACGGCCCAGCGTACGGAGCGCGCCGCCACCGCGGCCATGGGTGCCGCCATCTTGCCCGCCGCGGGGCACGCCGGGAGCAGGAGCGCCGCCCGCTCTCATTGGTGCAGAGAGGAGGAGGAGGAGAGAGGAAGAGCGCGGGAGCAGCGCGCCGCTGCCCGCCGCGGGGGAGTGTGGGAAGGAAGCGGGATGGGAGGGGCCGGGGCAGCGTGTGCCCCCTGCTGGCCCCACAACGCGGTGCAGGGCGGTGGGAGCCTCCAGGGGTCCCGGTGCCCCCCCTTCACCTCCCGGTGCTCCCGGTGCCCCCCCTTCACCTCCCGGTGCTCCCGGTGCCCCCCCTTCACCTCCCGGTGCTCCCAGTGCCCCCAGCGCACAGCCCAGTGAGCTCCGGTGCCCTCTGGAGCACACCCCGGTGCACACAGTGCACCCCGCAACACGTCCCAGTGTGTCCCAGTGCTCCCTACAGCACTCCCCAGCCCATCCCAGTGCTCCCCAGCATGCCCGGGACACCCCCACAACACACCCCACACATCCACTACTCCTCCGTGCTCCCCAATAAGCCCCAGTGCTCCCAGTCCCCCTCTTCAATGCATCCCTGTGCATCCCAGTGCTCCCCAAGTCTCCCCAGTCCCCACAACGTGCCCCCCAGTTCTCCCCTTGAAATACACCCCAGTGCACCCTGCACCTCTGTACACCCAAATGCACCCCAAGGTTCCTCATCCCACCCACACCCAAATGCACTCCCTGAGCCTCCCAGTGACCCTGCCCCAGGCCCAGAGCCCCCAGTGGACATGGTGAAGAAGAAGAGCCAGATCCATGGTGCTGTAACCCCCTTTATTGCCCCGTGCCCCATCCCGGGGCTCCATCGCCATGTCCATGCCATGTCCATGCCACGCTGTGCCACGTCCGTGCCGCGTGCCTGGCCGTCAGCAGAACCGTTACCATTACTAAACTCAGTAATGGTAACGGTTTCCCCGCCGGCCGCAGGTCCTTGGCTGCACCCATGGTACCCCCATCCCAACCTCCCCCCCCATCCCACGTCCCACATCCCAGCCCCACACGCATCCCCCATCCCTCCATGTCCGCGGTGCTGGTCCTGGGCCGGTCGGTGCGTCAGCGGTGGTGCAGCGCAGGGGAGTACATCATCTATACTGTAGTGTCTCATAGTGAACTTACAGTATACGATGATATCCTGCCCGGGGCGGCGCGTGGTGTGTGCCATGGGGCGAGCAGCAAGCACAGCCTGTGGGGGGACACACACAGAGAACTGTTAGAGCCACCACCTCCCCACCCAGCATTCCCATTGTGCCATCCCTATCCCCCTGGTCCCACTGCATGGTGGAAGCTCCAGCGTCCTCCCTAACCTTGAATCCCCCAAGCCCTTCTTTATCCACCCCAATCCCACCATCCTGGAGCAGGATGATCTTGATGCCTTCCCCATCCCAATATCCCCCCTACCCCTTCCTTGTCCCCCCCAGTCCCATCGCCCCAGAGCGGAGCAGCAGCTCCCAGTAGGTGGTACCTACCCCTGGGGGTGTCACTGTGGCTTTGGGGGGTGCTGGCTCTGCACCCGCCTTATAAAACCTGCTCTGCCTCATCTGCATATCTCACATCTGCACTGCACAGCTGGACGGTGCCCTTAACCCCTTCATGCCCGCCGGGGGGGGGGGGACGGGACACACAGCCCTAAACAGCTCCCACCCAGCCTGGCGTAGCCTATGGGGTTCTTGAGGATGGGGCGGGGGGGTCTTCAGGGTGACACCCCCCATGCCAGAGGCAGTATGGACACCAGGATGGTCCCTCCCTATACGTGCGGGGACCCCAAACTGGGAGCTACCCATTGCAGACTGGTTCCCAGTTGTTGGACATGCATTGGGGACATGGGAACCCCATGGGGATGGAGCCCAGGGTGATGATGGTGGGAACAACGCATGTGTGCAGGGGGTCCCCCTAACATGGACGTGAGTGTGAGGGCCCCATGTCCCCCTGGGGTGGGTGGCCTTCAAAGTACCACATGTGCTGCCATGAGGGACATGGCCCCTTGCAGTGTGTGTGTCCCCCCCAAAAGATGCGCCCCCAGCCTGCAGGGGCACGTCCCATAGCAGTACATGTCCCTTGTCTTATGTGCCTCCTTCCCAAGCGGATGTGTTCCCTGGAGGGATGTCCCTTTGTGTCCCCATAGGACATTCCCCCCAGCCATATGTGTCCCCAAGGGTACTGTGTCACCTCACTGTGCATGACCCTGGTCATACTTGTCCCCTTTGCAACCACTGGCTATAGGTGTCCCCCATCCCCATTGTGGGGGACCCCCAGTGTGTGTCCCCCCCCGTGCCATTGCGCCCCGTTGTTTGCTCCAGGACACGCTGCTGTTCCTGGAAGCTGCCTGCAGGGAGGTGATAGCCCCCTGCCAGGACCCGCATGGGGACCCCGATAAGCAGCAGTGTCCGGCTATCGGGGACCCTGCCCTGACACACGGGCTGTCCCCAGGCCCGCTGCTGCCTCTGGGTGACAGGAACAGGGGCAGCATCACCCACATCCCCCCCCTCCACCCCGGCCTGGCCAGGCCATGGCAGGAGGTGGCACAAGGTGAATGAAGCCCCAGCTCCAGCCTCTCCCCAGGCATCAGGATGCTGGGACCTGGGGGGCTGAAAGGGACGCCCCCCCCCCCCGTGTTCAGCCCCTGCTGTCACCCAGAGGTGTCCTGGGGGGGCTGCAGAGCTCCCCAAAGTGTGGCACAGGACCCCAGCACATAAACCAGGACAAAGGCAAAGTGCTGCCTGCCAGCCCCATGTGGGATTAGCCCCATCCCAGCCAGCCCGGCTGCCTGTGGGTACCCAAACCCAGCCCTGTGCTGGAGCGCTGCGCCCCATGGGGCAGAGGGGCCCCAGTGTCCCCAGGGTCTGCACCATGGAGCTGATGTGGGACCCCTGGGTGCTGCTGCAGGCCTCCCGCCAGCCGTGCTCCAGGCAGTGCATGCGGCTGCAGATAAGAGCATGGGGGCTGCAGAGCTGTCCCCACCCCACCTATCTGCAGGGCCACCCTGCTGCAGGGTGCAAGGGACGGGGCCCTTCGTCCTGCCTGCGCCCCTGCTCAGAACAGGGGGGTCTTGAGGAACCCCCTTTGCCGCAGGGAGAGCAGTGGAGCAAAGCCCCCCCATGGCTGCTGTCACTGCTCCTGTGTGCAGGAAGGACAGGGACCCCCCGAGCCACCCCAGTGTCCCTCAGCACAGGGTGTATGAGCCTGGGACACGGTGGTAGCACAAGGTGGTGCCACCAGCCTGGCTGCACCAGCCCTGCTCCGAACCCTGGGGTGCTGCTGGTTGTGGGGTGCCCCCACAGTGACCAGCTCCTGGGTTGACAAAGGTGATGCTGTGGAGCTCATCACCACCTTCATCCATATGGGAGCAGGACAAGGCTCGACCCTCACCAAGAGCAGCCCCAGGCATGGGGCAAGGAGCCCATGGGGACACGGTGACCTTATGGAGAGCACAAGGCCATGGGAGCTGTGGAGCAGCATGAGCTGGGACCTAACTTCCATGCACCCCTCATCCCAGTGGGACACCCATCTGCTCCAGCCCCCGTGACGCAGCGGGTCAAGCACCAGTGCTGGGGAGACGGGTGCCATGGTGTGAGGGGAGATGGGTGCAGGAGGCACAAGACAGAGCCAAGGGACACGGTGACAAGGCTTTATTATCATCCAGCAGCGAGGGTGGCAGGGACACAGCCATGCACAGCGCAGGCAGATAGGGCACAACGCCCGGCACACCCGCCAGCACCACCACACACGGGGGGCTGATAACACCATCCCTCTCCACCCCGATGGCAGGGAGGGGGACAGGGTGCCACCGGCCCCACAGCACCCACCTGTGACCATAGGTCACTCCTGGCAAAGGGAATGACCAGAAAGGGGCACTGACAGGAGGTGGAGGGGACCCGAGTCCCTGCGCTCACCCTATGGCAATGTGAGGGACCCAGCACCCCACAGCTGGCTTCACACAAGGGTTTGGCAACAGCCACACTGAACACAGGCATGGAAGGGACAGGGGCCAGCGCAGGGCCCTCTATGGGGCACGGACAGGGGACAACCTCTTTCACATTGTCACTCAGGGCAGCAAAGCCACTGGCCTTAAAGGCAAGGGGACTGAGCGAGGTAGGGGCTTCTGCACTGCCTGCACTGAGAAGCAGCCCTGGCTGCTGGTCCCTGCCCCACTGCAGTGCCTGCCTGGTCCCCAACCTCCCTCTAACCCAGGAGCTGTGGGGAACAAGATATGGGGCGCCTGGGCACAGCCACCACAGTGGTTTCACCTCCCTCTCGGGGCACAGGGTGGCTTTGGCACAGTGCTACCTTTTGGCATTCCTGGTGCTGGGGCCTCACCAAGTCTGGCTCAGGCCAGGGCTCGGTTGGGCTCTCCCCACTCCAGATCCCAGGAGGAAACTTCCTCGAGGAAAGGCAGCATGGGACTGGGCACCGTGATCATTGCCACCTCTGGGAAGCCAAGCCAGCACTGCAGAGGTCCCGAGACACTCCAACAGGGAAAGCCACAGGAACAGGCTATGGGCAGAGGCTGGGGTCGGGCAGTGCCCAAGGAGGAGGACAGGGAGCCAAGAGGAGATGGGTCCTGGCTGTTCTCTTCCTCCAGCTCCGCATCCCACAGAGCCTCTGCTCCGAGGACAGAGAACAGCAAGGCACTGGGATTGCAACACCAGACAAGCTGCCAGTTGTAGCTGGGGCTTGGATCCAAACCCCAGCCTGGTACAAGAACAGGTAACTACAAAATAAATCCCCCCACCCCGAGCTTGGTAATAAAAAGAGCAGCTGATCGGACATGCAACCTTCTGGCCCTACAAAATAAGGCACCAGAGCTTCGAAATGAAACCCTGATTGTCTTTGATATAAAAGGAATTCCCACGTGTTGAAGGCAGTTGATGTCTGAGTGCATTAACAGGGAGTGATCTTCACTAGCTTTGGCTTGGCCAGCCTCATGCCTGGGCTCCGGTGGCTTTCTGGATCAGGGGAATCTGCAGGAGGGGAAAAGAAGCTGTTAGGGCTGGAAAAGGGAGAGGCAGGAAGCTCCCTGCACGCTGTGGCTGGGCAAGGAAAGGCTCCCTACGAGTCTGGAAGCTTTCAGGCAATTCCCTACGCCCTGAAGAGCTGCAGGAATTGCAGGTGCTGGTGCATGGCTCACCTTTGTGAGATCCACACCGGTGAGGGCACGCACGGAGGCAGGGATCTCGGCCAGCAGACGGTTCACCTCCGACATGGTGCTGTTGTTCTCTCCACTGAGGATAACGATCTCATCCACTTTGGAGAGGGGAGCAGCCACTTTGGCAGCGATCTGGGGAAGCAGGGTGGCATGAGCAGAGTGAAGGAGCTGCTCAGCAGCCTGCTGGGCAAAGCTCCCTACACACCACAGGAGACCTGGCCCAGGCTGGGATCTCCCCGGAGCAAGGGAATGCTGCTCCCTCCTCACCTCAGGCAGCGCATCCAGCACTAGAGCCAGCTGGGCAGCTTCTCCATACTGCTGGAGTGCTTCAGCTTTCAGCTTCATCCGCTCAGCCTCCGCCATCCCGATGGCCTCGATCACAAAAGCCTCCGCTTCCCCGATCTTCCGAATCTTTTCCGCTTCCGCCTGAGCGAGGAGGACCTGCTTCACCCTGCAAAGGGAAACACAGCCCTCCAGCAGCCCGGATCCCTGCGCTGCTGCCCTCCATCCTTCCTGCAGCCACAGGCTCAGGGCTCACTCACTTCTCGCCCTCGGCGATCTGCTGGATGCGGTAGGCTTCGGCCTCGGCCGGCCGCTTCACGGTGGCGATGAGCTCCTTCTCCATGCGGATGATCTCCTTCTCTTCCACGTCGATCTGCTTCTTGCGCTGCACCACCTCGATTTCAATCTCCTCCTGGCGGATCTTCTGCTGCTCCCGGGCGCTCTGGAGCTCGTAGGCGAGCTGGGCCTCTGCAGTCTGCACACAGAGACGTGAGAGGGGTCTTGGCCATCCTCTCCTGCGCACGGACGTAAGGGCCCGTGGCAAGCACTGAAAGCAGATACAGCTCCTGCTCCCAAACCTCAACCCAGGGGTGACATCCCAGTCCTTAGAGCTGCACTTGCTGTCCTTCCCTATGCACTCTTCCATAGCATTTGAGCCCCACCAGCTCCAGGTTCAGCATGGATGACTCTCCCCATCCTTTCCTCTCCTTGTCCCACCTAACTGTTGTGAACAGAACCCAGGTTTCTCTGTTTCAACCTGGATTCCCCACCTCCAGCTCTCCTAACACGTGCAGGAAGAGGAATCTGACAAGTCTCAGAGATACCAATACCACAAGGAACCAGGCAGGGATCAGCAGTGTGCTGCCAGACACCTCTCACCTTAATGTTGACCTCCTCACTGAAGGCAGCTTTCTGCAATTCAAAAGCACGTCTGGACTCTGCTATTTTGGTATCTGCCATGAACTTGACATCCAGCATTTCCTTCTTGCACTGTGCCTCCTGCAGACAGGAAACAGAGAGCAGAGCTCAGCTGGAGCAGAAGAGGCTGCTCTAAGGAAGCCCAGCATGGCTCTGGACTCACCCGAATGCCAGCATCTCGCTCGGCCTCTGCCACCCCAATGTCTGCATCCCTCCGGACAGCCGCAGTCTGAGTCTTCCCCAGGGAGCTCAGGTAATCCACTTTATCATAGACATCCTGGAGAGGGGGAGATAAGTCATAACCACTTCAGATGAGTGATTCCATCCTGCTCGTGTCCCGCTGAAGCTCAGAACAATCACTGGTGCAGTTAGGCCAGGGTCAGAATGAGCCATGTCAGCCTGCTGCCAAATCAAACAGGGGTGACAGGGAGAGCTGGGCTCTCCTGACATCTTCCCTCTGTCTCCCTGGCAGCTCAGTTGTCAGTGAGCTCTCTCCTCAAGCTGTGTTTACAGAGGCAGCTGATTTAACTGGGTGCTCTTTGCCATCTGCCTGGATACAGGACATGCAGCGGCGGCTGTCATGGAAACACCCGGAGGGCTGGAGCCGGCTGTAAGCTGGAGTCTGTCACCTCACTGCAGCAGAGAAGCCAGGGCCAGGCTCTGTCCTGCTGCTCCTACAGCTCTGCCCCATAGCACAGCACCCTGCACCTGAGCATACCTTGATGGTGAAGCTCAGGATCTCGATCCCCATGCGACCCACGTCGGGAGCTGCCACCTCCCGCACCAGCTTGGCAAACTGATCCCTGTCCTGGTAGATCTGCTCCACTGTCAGGGTACCTGCAGAGGGGAGGAAGGTGAAGTGCTTTATTTGGAACAGGTAACACACAACAACATGGGTCTAAGCTCAGCAACATCCCTGCTGTCCCTAATCTCCTCAGGTCTGGGCGCCAGGGTGTGCACCAACATCTCAGTGTCACAGCACAACCACCAGACACATGCACCACCTGGATCCCATGGGGACTCAGACATCTCTGAGTGCAGGCACTGCAAACCCATTTATCACAACACCCAGGAGCTGCTGGAGGGGTGGAACCACCTCAGATGTCACCTCTGCAGAGAGCAGAGGAGGCACCCGTTGTGGGTGCTGTGGTGGCAGCGATACTGCTGGGAGCAGCCAGCAGAGAGGGGAGAAAGCTACTCAAGATGCCTTCAAGAGTCTGAGTCCCCTCACACCTAGGATGGAGCGCAGGTGTCCCTCCAGTGTCTGAAGGACCACGTTCTTCACATCCTGCACATTCTTCCCCAAGAACTGCTCGCAAGCCACAGCCAGGAGCTCCTTCTCGGTCATGATCTTCACCTAGAGAAAGGAGACAAAACCAAAGGGACTGAAGGCTGCTGCTCAAAGAGGCACAGGCACCCAACAGCAGCAGCAGCAGCAGCAGCAGAAGCAGCAGTACCACCACCAGGCTGCCCCCCTGCTACTGATGCTCCAAGGGACCATGCTGAGCTGTCACCACGGTCACCCAGGCCACCAAACCAGCCACTGCTGCTGGGGACAGCCCTGCTGCAGGCACATGCATGGGGCAGACACCTCTGCAAACCCCACTGCAGCTCAGTGTGGAGAGGTGCTCCCTGCAGCCATCTACCCCACAGCAGCAGCCATGGGGTGATGTTGGGGCAGGTCCCACCAGATGAAAACCCTACCAAAAAGCCCTGAGCTACTGCACCAACACCAGACCTAGGAGGAGAGGGCTTTCTAGTACTACCCCTGTCCAAAAGCCATTCTGTTACCTTTCTCTTCCTCCTCCTTCACTAGAATTAACTTTTCTGACACAGGAAAAGCAGGGAACAAGGAAGAGTCTCACATGCCCAAGGAGCAGTTTGGGAACAGGGGCTCCATTCGGTGTTCCCTGCAAGGAGAGATGAGATGAGATGGCCATAGTGCACTGGTTTGCCCTTCTCGTGGCTGGGAGCTCCCAAAGGCACTCTGCAGTGACCCCAGTGTGCTATGGCCAGGACCTGGCTGTCCCACTCTGCATGGTCAATGTGATAACAAACCCCAGAGGTGGGACACAACTACCCCAGCACTGCTTTCATCTCCCCCAGTCAAAGCCAGACATAAAAGCATCCCTAAATCCAGACATCCAGGGTCTCCAGATGGTTCTGCTGATCATGGGGCTGCTTTTGAAAGGCAAAGTGGGTTAAAAACGAGACGTGTGCTCGTGGAGCTCTACAGGACCCAGCTATGAGGAGATACAACCCACCAAAGTGGCAGCTCCTGGGGACCAGGTCCAGTTTGCACACAGGGATGTCTCTGTGGCAGCACCAGAGAAGGAAGCAGGGCCATACCAGGCACACAGCTCTGCTGGGACCTCTGGGTGCTGAGCCAGTCCCACAGCACCCTCTGATGGAGACACCTGGGCTGGGCAGCGCCTCCTGTCCCATGAGATGCTGGTGGCACCCAGCACAGTGCCCTGGCTGCTACCCGTGATGCCAGCACGGTCCTGCCTCAGAGACCTCCTCAAAGCTGCCCTCTGATGGGTCCACAGCCTATAGACCTCATCCCTGCTCTGTTAACCTGTTGAGTCCAAAATGATCCTGCAGCCTAACCTCTGGAGCCAAACAGCAGCACTGCCAGTGAGCAGGATAGCTGGGACCAGCCACCACCTCCTAAGGGAGAACCACAGGGCCAGGCCATGGTGATTTCTCGTCCCTGCACCCCAAGGCCAGCAGTGTGCTCTTCCCACACAAGGGGGAGTTGGGAGAGCTGCCCACGGAGCTGCCCCCAGTGTGGGTCCTGCACAAGGCTCAGCCTGCAGCAAACAGGAGGGTTTTGCAATAGCAAACCCAATCAGACTCAGCAGCAAGGTTTATGGTGTGCATGTGCCAGCAATTCCACCTCTCCAAACAATCCCCATCCTTTGTGAACTACAGATAGGATGGAGCAGGGTGTTGGTTAAGAGAGTCCCTGGGGTGCTTAACAGGAACAAGCACAATTCAGGCTCTGAATAAAGCCTGCATCAGTGAACCCTGGACGGCCTGAAGGAGCTGGGCTGAATATAGATGTCAACCTACAAAGCCAAAGGGTGCACAAAACAAGCCAGAGCTGAGCAATCTGTGCTCAGCTTGTTGCCTCTTTCAGACAGGGCACTGCGACACCGGGGGCTGCTTCAAATGTCATTCACATCAGAAAGAGTGGAGCTGGCAGGAAATCAGAGAGCTCCCATAAAGCCATCCCAATGTGGATCGATAGCGCTGCACCCAGCTCCAGGCAAGCTGCAGCCACAGCGAGGGCTGGGCAGGGACAATCCAATTGGCTTGAGGCTCAGGAATGGGACAGGGGGATAAGAAGCCCAATGTGGCTTAAGGCAGCAGCACCCCAAGCACTCAACCAACACAACACAGAAGCTATTGGCGTGTCCTCATTACACCAAGACAAGGACAGCATCCTTATGCACATTAAGCCCTTTATTAATACAACAACCACTCTTAAAGGTGGTAAAGGTCTCTAGGAATCATTTCTTGGCTTTTTTTCCTTTCTTGCACAAGCCCTTCAAAGAAAAAAGGTTTACTTCAAAAGTACTTCTGCAGAATCAAGGTAACCTCCGCCATGCACAGCCCCAGCTGCCTCAAACCTGCTTTCAGCAGGGCAAATCCTTGCAGCTCACAAGCCTAAACCTTTAATAGTAATTGAGAGTGAAAGAAAAGAACAGTGAGAAGAGAGAATAACATCACTGAGCTGGATTGGGAGCTGCAGTTTTAAATCAAGGCACCCAGTCATCCAGCCTGCTGTTACCATGTACCAGCCTAGACCATTCTGTAGGCAATGGAAGGATGTCCCCAAACTGGGTCAAAAAGGGGTGCTGGCTTCAGAGAAATACCTTTTCCAAATAGAGAAGGAAAAGCCTACACATTTGTGAGATGTGTGTGAGGGGGAACATGGGTGCAGGCATTTTGCCAACCATGCAAAGACTGCTGTGGTTATGTGATACAAATATGGATATGGGATATATATATGGATATAAAGAACTGAAAACAGAAAACCAGGATGCTGATTCACATCACTGGAGCCAGGATGAGGCCAAGATGCTGGCTCCTGTGCATGTAGCTCCTCCCCAAGAGCAGCAGGGTGATGGGCACTCCACTGTTGAGTCATGGTCCTGCCCAGCCCTTCTGCTGTGTGTGTGAATTCAGAATCCACTCCTGGCTGGATCCCATCCTCCCTTACACAGACACAGCCCCTCTGCAATGTCAGGTCAGAGCAAACCAATGAACCTGGGCTGGAATGCGCTGGGTGGAGTGTGCCAAGTGCTTGGTCTTAAAAGGGCTGCATCAGCCACGGTGCTCTCCCTTGGGGGGGCTTTAGATGCACATGGGACATCACTGCATCACTGCTCACCTCAAGGAATGTGGCAGTCACCTCTCATGCAACAACAGACCTGGACATGCCTCGGACGCACGGTGACCACAGCCTTGTGTGCACTGAGAACCACTCTCTTGGGTTTCTTACACCCAGAATGAGCTGTCAGGAGCAATTCTCAATCAAAGAATCCAACTGCCTATTTGGGGAGTCAGGTTCTGTCAAAAGCTAACAACGTTTTCCTGACAGCATCCTCCCCAAGGCAGGACCTGGACACAAGACCCTGCATGAGGACTTAGCTCAGAGTCTAAGGAACTTAGTTGTTTGTGTGCTATCACAAGCAGCAAGGAAGAAGGCTTGAGAGAATCAAAATTCAACTAAAGCCAGCAATTTTACACACAAATTTTAGTGCCTGGAGGGATTAAACTCTTTTTTTTAAGCTTTAACTCACCGTGAAGAATTACGAGGTCCACATGCTAATAATAATAATCCAAAGCAACATAATGCTCAATACTACCTCAGGAGTGAGTGGCTCAGTCCTGCAGGGTCACACACAGCTCCACGGGCACCACAGTACATCAGCATTTCACACACAGGTCAAGCCATCCACAAACAGCTCATTTGCCACGTGGACAAATGAGACTGGGGAAAAAGAGGAATGATTTTTGGGAAGAGGAGGACAGATCACAACCCCCTTCACAACATGGGACGTGTCTGAACCAACAAGGACAGTGTGTACACGGATTTCAGAGCAGTTGGCTTCTGTTCCTGGACAAGAGCCACCTCTTAAGGAGGAAAACAAGATGTACTTTAGAGACATGCATTCCTGAAATGATGGTTGGAGTTACTGTACCTGTGCCACACCTGTGACAGTTAAAGCTACCCCCTCCGCCGTCTCTACGTCCTCACACCTGGGCTGTAACGTCATTATCTCTAGGGAAATCCTGCCAAAAAACGCAAGATATTTGCACGTTTCCAGGTTACACCCACTCAGCTCTTCCCTTTGCACCTCCTGCCCCGGGCGACTTGCTGCACTCATCACAGGTAATGTAAGACAGGCCCAGAATGCAGCCGAGAGGCTCCACCTGTGACTGGAGACAGACACTTGGGTCAAGAAATAGATTTTCAGATAATGCTTAAAGGCAATTCATCAGCAGAGGAAGGCTGGGAGCCAGGCTACCAATGATACCATGACCCTTTCCCTTCTGCTGGGCTAGAAGGAGACCAGAAGCTGGCAGCTTTGGGACCACAAAGGGCCTCCCACCAGAGGCTCATTGCGCTGCGCCGCCCCGGTGCTCTCGCTGGCTGCTGTCACTGGTTTCAAAGCACAGCATGGACCTGGGGTGCTCCTGCCCCATGGTGCCACCCCCATGGAGTGCAGGGCATGGCAAAACCTGGTGTTGATGCTGCAAGAAGCAGCCCTGCCTTTGCCCTCACTGGGTCAGCATTAACACAGACCTACCTCCTGATCTGGTTCACCTCTCCTGATACTCTTCCTGTGTCCCGTGATCCAAAGGCAGACAGAAGTGAGTCTCCAGCTCTTTAGGGCCGTGCCTATGTAGTATCAGGCATCCAGGAACAGATCAATCATAGAATCATGGAATGGTTTGGGTCTGAAGAAACTTCAAAGCTCATCCAGTTCCAACTCCCCTTCTATGAGCAGGGACACATTCCATTAGATCAGGCTGCACATCCTGCAGCTGCAGGGCTTTCTCAGTCACTCAAGGTGAGCTCAAGTTACTTTGGCCAGACCTGGCAATCTGCAGGTCATGGTTTGGTGAAACAAGAGACATGCTGCTTGGCCACGGCAGGTTCTGCTGCAGGAAGCAAAGCCTGGCTCTCCCATCAACCCTAACAAGCCGGGAAGGGACTGGGAGTCAGGACAGGGAGCCACGGGACAGAGAACTTGTGTCAGCGAACATTAGGTCAAACCTCTGAACCATGAAGGGGCTGCACTGCGCCGCTGTGTGCACACTGAGTCGCTGCAGGATTGGCTGCAAGTGCTGAAATCTACCTCTGCAAGTTCATACCTGCCTTGGCCAGTGTCCTAATGAAACTGGCACACGAGCTGGGAGCTGATAAAGCAGATCCCACTGTCCAGGATGCACAGAGGCATTTTCTGCATTCACAGCTTTAATCAGCTAGTGCAGGATTTTAACCTTCTGAACACCTAACCTACACTTTGAGTTTAATTGACTGCGCTGCTTGTTAGCCAGCAAGTCACAGGGATGCTTGGTAATTACTGTTACACCGGTTCCTAACCGCTCACAGTGTAAATGTCAGTCCTGTGTGCTGCAACTCATCCAAGGTCTCTATGCTGTACTTTCAAACGTGACAATATCCAGACCAGGCACTGTCTCCGTGTAGAGGGAGAAGGGCTGAGTGGAAACCCATATTCAAAACTGCAGAGCCAGGTACAGTTGTCATTTGCCCGTATGTGTACAGGATTCCTTTTGAAATGGCACAAAACCTGCCCCAAATCCAGTCTGGCCTGCTTGTGGCTCCACACAAAAGCAATACCCTTCTGCTCTCCACCAAGCACACAGTGGAAACAGGGCTGTCAAGTGAAGGGTTACAGCTGGGGCGAATGTCTGCAGCATTATCAGAAGGAGACAGTACAGCAATGCTGGATTTGGGATTTGCCAAGTGTGCATCTGTCTGCATTACCTATAAGCCATGGAGTGCGCCCCAGGGCAAGTGCCAGAGGAGGGGAAGGAGAGGTGGGTATTGAGATTTCAATTGTCCCATTAGAAAACCATTAGTTTCTATGTTATCCTGCTGCTGCTGCTGCTGTTGCTGCTGCTCAGAACAGAGGGATAAAGTCAGACACAGTGTTAGGAAGCTGGTGGATTATTACCTGTGCAACCCCTGTTACGTACAGTGGGACCCCCTCCGACGTCTCAATATTCTCACAGCGACAGAGGATGGTCATAACCTCCAAAGACAGTCTGAGCAGCGAGGAATAAGGGTAGGACAGCAAATATACAAAGCAGTTATCAGAGAGTAAGACACTCATTGCAAAGGACAAGACGAGACTTTCAGGTTTCAGCTTCTCCCTGGTCAGTTTGCCTTTCTCCCACCTATTTCTCCCAGGGCTCCATTAACACTAGGCCAGACCGGCTCCCTTCATCACAGCTTCTTTTGATGAGGTTGAAGGGGCTCATCTCAACCCTGTGCGCCACAAGTCACTGCAGATGAAACTGAAGCATGTATTCCACCTGGACTGACATCCTGCAGGAATTCTCTGCTGGAAGCAATCTTCACACACAGAAAATTCCCTCCTGTAAGGATTCAGATGCTTCTATGCCAACATTTAAGAGGGGACAGGGAAGTTTTAAATGCTAGGGGCCTGGATACCCACCCCTGGCTCAAGCATTGATGAGAAGAGAGTGCTTCCAAATGCTGTCCTGAGAAGATGAATAACACCACTTGGCTCCCCCAAAGGCATGCAAGACCATGCTGCCTCCCTCTCTGCTTTTCTTCCTGACCCTTAAACAAGGACAGGACTTTTCCTTTCCTTTTCTTCCCCAGTCCTCAAGGTTGCAGCAGGATAAGAGCCCAGCACCCTGCCAGCTCTAACTGTTCCTTTTGTTCCCAGGTTAGTGCTACCTGGCGGGATGCCGCTGACAGGAACACAATTGCTGCTGCCTCTCTTGCTTTCAGCACTGGCAACCCCAGAAAAGATGTCCTAATTTCAGGGGAGGAAATCTGCCTCACTCTTCATGTTAATGCAGCAGGCTCCATCCGTGGCACGGCTCATTTGGGAAAGGTTCTGTTTTCCAAAGGAGAATTAAGCCCCATATCCCATGGTGTGAATCACAGGATAGATTTTAAAGTCAAAGATTTGTCTGGGTGCTGGAATTGCTGCCAAGAGCCCCGTTGGCTAAATAATGCACAGACCTCTATCATATGACAGCTCACTCCTGGCAAGCAGCTCTTGGCCCTGCACTCAGCCTTTGCTTAACTTAATAAGTGAGCCTCCTGAATACATCTGCTATGCCTTGCACACGGCAGGTCAAGGTCCTGCACTGTCCTCTGCGCATCTCACGCAAGAGGAGGAGCTGGAACCACTCATTTAAATCAATGGTTCTCCCATGAGATGCCCCACAGAAGTTTGGGAATGAAGCTTGTCCGGATCAAATGGAATTATTAAGGACTGAACCCACAGGTTGGGCCTTTCCTTCCCCTCCTGCCTCATATGAGCATCGCTGGAGAGCCCAGGCTAAAACGTGTGGTGTTAGCTGAGACCTCTTCATGCTCTCATAGCAACCCTGAGTATGAGCAGTCTGGAGAGGACCTGGGAGCTGCCACCAGTCAGTCACCAGCAGCAGCCAGGACCCCTTTGCACAAGGCAAAGCTGCCTGCTTCGAGGTGAAGAGCAGCTACAGCAGTGTATCATCTGCAGAGCAAGGGCAGAACGTGCTCACTTAGTCTGCTGGTGGCAACAGGTGAACAGGGAGAAGAGGTGGCAAGATCAGGCAGTAAGGGTTAACTCTGACCATCACTCAGTGCAAAACCCAGAAGTCTCATCATTATCTTTTTCCCTGCTATTTTTTTTTTACACAGATGGAGGAAACCTGCATCAGTGAGCATGGGGGAGGTGTTGACAGCAACACTCCCTCTGATCCTAAAGACAAAGAGCTGTATTAGCAGGACAGCAGCATTATCAAAGCATGTTAGTTCAGAGACCAGTGCAGGAAGAAGCAGCAAGCAAAAACCACGACTGAGGAAAGGCAGAGAAAGGAAATCCCATGGTTTTAAATAGGAACACACTCTGCTCCCAAGGTGAGAGCAGTCAGCACATTGCTAGGAACAGAGCCTGGAGGAGCAGGAGGGGGCACTGGCCACTGCATGAGACAAGCTCTGGTGAGCTCAGGGATGAGCCAGCCCAGTGCTCTGCTGCCCAGCACCTCTGTGAGAGCCTGGAGCACAGCAGAGGAGAGCAGGGCTCCTCTCTTCCTCAGCACCAGCACAGGGTGGAACACACTGACCAGCCAGGCTGCAGCCCTCTCAACTTGGTGGAGTTTCTGTAAATAAACAACTGGGTTTGAGGAGAGGTCCCATGTTCCTAAAAATACTGCTGACTGCCCCACTGGGATGGCTTTGCTGAATTCCTACTCCAAAACCACAAAGAACAGGGGGGGTCCTTACCTTTGGGTGTCAGTAATGCACCACCAAGCCCAGGCCCAGCCTCCGTACACGTACTGCTTGACATCAGAGCCGCAACAGCCACCTGCAGCACAGCAGAGATGGAGGGATGACACACACCAACCTGAGTCACGAGCACAACTTCAAACAAGCCTTGGGGTGACGGGGAAAGGGCATCCTGGGGAGGGGTCATTGGTTCCTCCAGCCCCTTGGAGCACAGGAAGCACCAGTGCTGCCAAGCCAAGCTCTGCAGCATGACCCAGACAAATCCAAGCATGCCTGCAGGATCTGATGAATAATGAACACAGAAAACTCTTTCCAAGATCCACAGCAGCCCTGGAACACACTTTGGTCAGCCATAATGCAGCTGGCTACCGGGAACAAAACACTCTTCCTCACCCTCATGGGCCTCACACAGCAGTTCTCCAAAGGCAACCCGTGGTTTTTTAGAGTTGTCTTGTAAAAGTGGGGAATTGTGATAATTCAGTGGGAAATAACATGGAAAGAGTGACTGGATTTCAAACCAGGATTTTATTTAAGTTTTGTTTAGCAGTTTAAGCACTTTTAGCAAAGACAGTTCATGCTTCAGTATTTTTAAGCGTGATGCACCAGCTCTGTTATGGAAAGCCAAGCAGGAAATCCATCTCCTTTCCCTCGCACCCTTTAATCCACCCAAAAGCTAGCAGGTCACTGTTGGAGGAGGGACAAACCTTGGAGCTCCCCCAGAACATCTCCTAGTTTGGGCTCATGCAATACTACAGTGCCTGGAGCTGTGATGGCCCATCACAGAGCTGGCTATGCCCAGATTTTGGTCAGCTTCCAGAACTCCTTTGATGCATTTAAGATTTGACCCCAGAGAAGCCAGAAGATTCTCACATCTTTGATCCAAGGAATGAGACCCCTGTTACCTTTCAAGGAGCACCCTGCCATGACCAGCCCCAGGTTTAATGCTTGGCAAGAGAGGAGCTCTGCAGCGCCCTGGCTTGGACCAGGGCTGTGAGCTGCCTTCTCCCAGGCAGATGAACCCAGCAGTCCCTCCCTAGCCTGTCATCCATAACCATACTTATTACAGCAGCACCCCAGGGCACCAGCAAGGCGAGCACTGCACCAACGGAGCAGCAGCTTCAGCCCTGGGGGATGTATCTACGCAGGCAAGACAGAGCAAGAGCTGGCACACAGGGAAAACAGCACGGCTGGAACGCCGTGGGAGGGGAAAGGGAGAACTATGAGACCAGCAGACAGCTCTTTCAAGCTGCAATAGGTCAAAATGAAGAAGCAAAGGCAGCACACATCCAGGCCAGTGTGCTGGCAGAGCTCTCTGGACCACAGGAGGGGCCTTCTGTCTGTCCCATCCTAAAGCGTTTGGCCATCTTCTGCTCTCAGCTAAAGGTACCACCTGCTTCACTGGCTTCCATGCAGTGGTTGATAAACCATAAGCAACAGCCTTGTCTCCAATTCTTCACCTTCCAATATCAGTAGCAAGTAAACACAAATGGAGATGGGTTTACACACTTCTCAGGTCTCCTGTGCTCCACAGGCCTGAGGAACATTCTCCTGCCACCTCCAAGGCAACCTCTTGATAGCTTCTTCAGCCTCTGGATAGCTTCTTCCTGTAGCTGGAAGGCTATTTCAGCCAGGCAAGCAGTTACAGAAGCTGATGATACAACATCCTGCAGCATTTCAACTGCAACACCTCTTAAGTTTTCCTGGAGGACGTCAGCCCAGTTAGCTCAGCCTTTTAGCCAGGCCCTTGTTTTCCAAGAACAGGAAGGGAGGTGTTCCTGGCAGCTGGGAAAAGCAGCTCCACATGGAAAGGTATTTGATTGCAGAAGGTCTATGTGGCCTTTACCAAACCTCTGGTAATTGCTTCATAATAATGTTCTGAGAAAACCCTGCACCCTCAACCGACTGCTCACAAGAACGTTCCTCCCCACACAGATGTTTCTTCCCTTCCGCAGGAAATACCTTTGGCATCACACCCAAAGCGAGCCCCCTGTTTGCTTCCTAACGCTGCTCCACAGCACAGTTTACTAAGCTAGATTATATGTCAAAAAGTGTTCAAAACATAAGGAAAAGAGGGAAAAAATCAAGACATTAAACAGGAGCAGGATGCCAGCTGGTTGCTTTCATGCAGGCTGGACGTCGGAGCGCAGCAGAGCTCTGTCCTGGTAACACAAGTCGGATGAGCCGAACGCTCATTTTCCATTGCAGTCCCGCAGTCTCTTTCCCAAGTCTCAAAGAGCAAGTGAAAAAGGAACCAACAAAGCGAAATCTTTGCAAGGCTTAAGAATAACCCCTCTTGCACAATGAGATTTGGCAGAGAAATTGCCTTTTCCGGCTATAATACACCCACTGTTCCAGCAGCCCGGGTCTCACAGTCGCTTGGCCATCGCTTCCACAAACATCCACCGCCTCTTCCGGGGCAGTGTGCAGCAGCCAGGCACACTACAAACACAGGATTCATCACCAGGAAGCTGCCATCCAGCCTGGCCTCTTCCCAAATGAAGGGGTCCCGTGTTCAAGCAAGAATTCCCAGAGGCAGGAGAAAGCACGTTGTCTGTTTGGGTTTGGTGGGGTTTTGTAATGAGATGAGATTCATCGCTTGGGAGTTTGGAGATAAATGGAGCTCTCAGCAGACACAGGAAGCTGCTGCCCTGATGGATGGCATGCAAGGAAGAACAGCAGCCCCAGCAGGGACACAGGGCACGAAACAGCAAAGCTGGGACAATGGGAGGCTGGGAACAAACTCAGTGCTGTTTGCTCTCCCAAGGTAACTGGAGGCAATGAGCTTGTATTCTGGCAGGAACTGGTGAGTGTTCAGAAATCAGGTCATGGTAAGCAGGCTGCTATGATAGCTTGATAATGATATTCCTTCCCTGAGACTGCCACAGGCTGCAGACAAGAACAAAGCAGAAACCATCACCCTCACCTGCACAGACAGAGCTGCCATCTCCACACCTCAGTTCAGGGCAATCTGTGCTGGAGCCTCCTCCTCCAGGAGGACCCATCACCAAAACAGGGAATAAACAGCTCGGTCCAATGGGACAGAAGCCAGGTTTGTAGAGAAATGGCCCCGTGTCATGGGGTGCTAATAAACGAGTGCAGAAAGACAAGGGGGACAAAGATAACTGAAACCAGTTACTGACAAAAGACATAATGGAGATGAGAGAAAAAGCAAAGGCATAAAGAACATCATGTAATAAAGCAGGGTCTTGACTAAAGCCAGTCTGGTTCTTAGGCCCTGCTGTGCATAAAAATGAGGTTTTGTCCACATGCAGAAATGGGGCAAGGTTAACGAAAATTAATTTAAGAGAGTGCAGGGTTCTGAGTTGAATCCATAAAATCCTTGGATGGTCACTACAGCAGATGAAACGGATGCTGGCTAGCTCGCTTTGGATGTGATCTGTATCAAAATGACTGCTTAAAGGCTGGAAGTATCAATGCTCAGAGCGAGTTTAAAAACACACATTTAGTTTGATTCATCTTGCAAAGAGAAACTCACAGAAGACAAACCACAATGAAGTTACACAACAAAACCACAGAGATGCTACCCCAGAATTCCAAAGGGAAAGCTCCGAAGCTATCCTGTCCACTTCCTTCTCCTGCCATGCTTTCTGATGAGCCATCTGCAAGTCTTGGACATCTAACAGTTACCTGACAGGGGAAACCTTGAGCGCCACCACCTGCAAAAAGCTGCAGACCTACCCCCAGAGGAGAAACTACATCCCCACATGCACCAGCAACCTTGTGCTACAGACTTGAAACAAGCTGTGATGCTGCACTCTGGGCAGCAGCCACTGAGCACCACAAGCAGCAAGAAATCAACTGCAGGTGAAGATTCTTGGCCAGCCAAAATGAAGAACTTAAGGGCAGGAGCACTCAAACCTGGCAATGAGTGCCACTAGAAGTTTCCTGCATGGCTTGCCTGATGTGAGAGGTAGAAGACCTCAGCCTCAACCCTCAGATGGCTCTTGCTGCTCACCACATCTTTCTGCAGGACACAGCCTGGACCTTCTCCTTCCATTTTCTCGCTATCAACTGTTCTCACCCAAGTGTTGTTCTCCGCATTTCTCCTCGTTGAACTGCATCATATTTCTTCCAGGCCATTCCATCGCTCTGTTGAGTTTGTTTTGATTCTAATCCAGGTCTTCAAAGCTCTCAAATCCATTCCTAGCTCAGTACTGTCTGCAAATTCAATAAGCACATTCTCAATTCCATTATCCAAGCCAAAACAAGGAACATACTTGGTAAATCCTTTCAGCTGAACAGTGAGGCACTGTCAAGTTCCCTGGCAACCCTTTTCCAGGCAGTTTCATATTAATTTTACAGTATCTGAGAAACCAGTTCCTCCTTGCACTGTGGACTGTAGCTCTCTCAGGAGCCTCAAGAAACCTTTATTTTCAGGCTTTCAACTTAAGAGAAATACCATGAAAATGGCACTGCGACACTGGCTCCAAATCAGGACCAGTTCTTGTGGGGAAAAAAAGGGATGCACTAACAGGATGCAAGAGCTTAGAACAGCTCTGGAAGGGTTAAACCACCCCTGGCTGCTGGGGTGCATCAGGAAGTGTTTACACAAGAAAGGAATTAACTTCTTTTAAACTTCTTTTACTCTGACAGAGACCAGGGAGCCTCCAAGGGTGAGGCAGGAAAGCAGAGTTTGAGAAACTGGGCTGGGCTGTAGTTTGCAAGCTGAATTCTGAGAAATCACATGAAACAGGTTTTAGTAAAGGCAAGGTGCACGTCAGAGGCTTCTCCCCATCCCCTGGAGCACTGACCCACCTAATGGGGAAGTCAGGTTAGCTGGACATGGCTCATGCTCAGCAAATACAAGGAACTGTTTTCTTGTAGGCATTTACAAGCAGTGCACTTGTTTCAGTGCTCTCCCAGGAAATACAGCCAGGCTGACTGGGCAGTTCCCCTGCACTTTCTTCCTCCTTTCATACCCTGAACTAATGCTGAAAGAGCAGTTTGTTCTGACCCGGAAATATGGGTGCCAACCTTCCCCTATCACCCATCTCCAAGGGCTCACTCCAAGCTCCTCTGGCTGCTGGACCATTGCTGTGTGGTGCTGCCCCGCAACCGTCAACATTCCCAAAGGAAAATGTCCCAGCTGTAGGGATCCAGAACATATTATTTACTTAGGGTGACTGTAAGATGAACGTGGCCATTACAAATTACATCTCCTTACAGTGAGACTGCAGAAAGATCCTAGCATTGTATTTCATAATTAGCAGATTGATCCTTAGCCACAAAAGCTAGACTTCAACCCAAACCCAGCATTATGCATCCAACAAAACCTACTTAGCTGCTGGGAACATTCTGGTATCAGCATGAACAGGTACTTTGTGTATTGCCCTGAAAACTTGACTGGCTCTTGGAAGACTCAGCGATGCCAAAGCCTCCTCAGAACTTGCACCAAACCTTGATAGCAAAGTTAGGCCCACATTTTGGAGACACCATCATTGCCTCTGTAGGGTTTGCAGAGCCTGGGCTCTACATTTCATGGACAGATTGGCTAAGAGTGAAGTTCTTAGAGGGAGATCAATATTGCTCAACCAGAAGGATGTAAGTGCCATTAGAGTGCTGACCTCTGCCTGGGAAGCAGCTTCCCAAATAAGGCTGCAAAGCTCCTGCACACACGGACATTCCCCAGGCACGGCTGGCTGCTCCTGGAGCACTGGAGGAGCTAGAATATCTTACAAGACAGTGAAAAGAAAGAACACCGTTCCCTGGAAACCCCCACGTGCCACCCCAAACTTCAAGAGGCACAGGCTGGATTTGCAATAAGGAAACTTTTCAGTGAGCTTCACGAGGTGGAGGTGCCTTCCCACAAAGTCCTTCATATAACATTCGTATGGCAAATCGAGACTGTGAGCCAGAAGCCTGCTTTGAATATTATTTGCTGTCGGTTTATTCTCACCTTCCCCTTCTCCCCCCACATCCAACCTAACAGCATGCAAGTAAATGCTGCCTCCGCCCTCCTTCCTCTCTGCTTTACCCTGGAGGGACACGGCTGAAGTTCCTGGAACTACAACTGCTTGTAGTTACACGCCTCCCACTAATGCCTTGGCATTCATTGTGTACGCACGGAGCAGCTGCAGGCCCTGCAGAGCTCCCACAACCGCTCAGCCTGCCCCTGAAGCTCACAGCCAGTGCTCTCAGGAGACAGCAAGCGCTTGCAGACCAAGCTGGGCAGCGGCAGAGGAAAACCACGTGTGGTGGTGTGGTGGCAGCACAGAACCCAGTTCTGACCGACAGAGCCTGGCATGATTTACGCTTCCTTCCCAGAATGCGGTTGTACATCGAGGAGTGTCCCCGGCTGGCTGCTCCCAGCTGTGGGAAAGCCTAAGACTTGGAACTGCGAGCAGATGCCACAGATTCCTGCTGCCTCATCCTGCAAGCTGTGTTTTGTACACTTCAGAGCTGAACAGATGCAAAAATCCAGCTTTTTAAAGGCTGAAAGGCATCCCGGCACACCTGGAGCACGGCTTCCCAAGTCCTCCCATCTCCAGACATGGCATTTCTCCAAGCAGCACTGATTCCGATGGGGGTCTCGCTGGAGGGAAGTGCAGCACCGGCTCTAGATCCCAGCTGGGAACTGCAGAGACGTGCAGAAGACCAGGGAAAGCACAAGGAATACTGCTGCCCCAGGCAGCGCTGGGTGCGGTTTGTAACTCCTTAGAAGCAGCAGCCACAGCGAGCATCGTTGTTTCCAAAACCGCAGCCTGCTTCTGGCTTCTCCCCAGTAATTCCCGTAACAGGTTTGTTATCCAAGAGAGATGGAATGATAACAGAGCAGCCAGAAGTAAGGGCCACAGCCCGCTGGAGGCTTTGGCTCCAACACCACCACAACACAGTTTGACATGCACGGCAGAGCTGCGACGGTAGCACAGCCTTGACCTTCACATGCATTTCCGCGGGGAAGGTTAGGTCTGAGTATCACAGCTCCTGCCCCAAAACTAGCTGAGTGTTGACAAAAGGATGTAACATGACTGAGGACAGTAGAATTGACCAACATCCGTAAACTAACCTGGTTATTACCTTGCACTTGGCCCAAGCCTGTGATAAAGAGTGAAGCACCCAGCTCTTGCAGCAAGCTGTTGCATCTCCTAATAGGTCATTAAATCCTGCCTGCACACAGATGCTGCGCCAAAGCGCAGCCTGGGGCTTTGTCCGAGTACTGAAGCAGCTACAGGTTGAACCAGACCTGGTGATTTCACTACGGGTTCAATTGAATCCTAACTTAAGCAACCAGCTCTCCTGCTGATGACATTACACACGTGTGACAGGCATCAACTGTGACCGCTGCCAGCACGGAGACAGCGCCGGTAACGAAGCGGCCGCGGGACGCGATGGAGACGGGCCCGGCAGGGCCAGGCGCTGCCCTGAGCTGCTCCCTCCGGCCCCGCTCCCCAGCAAAGCCCCCATGCACGGGGGAGGCTCCGGTGCCCCAAGCCAAAGGCTGCTGGCGGGGTCCCAGCGCCCTGCGGGTGCCTCCGCCCGACATCACCGGGGTGCGCCTCCAGCACCGCAACTGCGCCCCGGGGACGCGGTGCCAGAGCTGGGGGTCCCCGCTGCATGGAGCTGCCCTCTGCCCCGCAGCACCCCAACACCCCCGCGGCCCCTCATGACAGGGACCCCCCCTCCCTCCAGCGCCCCATCAGTCTCCCCACACAACTCCTTCAGGTACCCCCAAACACCCCCCAAGATCCCACTCCCTCCCAGACGGGGTCCCCCCATTCCCCACCAGCTCCCTGTGTCCCCCCACACCAGGGACCCTCCCCAGAGCCCCCCCATGACAGGGTCACCCCCCCAGAGCACCACCCAAGCCCCCTCAGCACAGAGACCCCCAACACCCGCGCCCATGACGGGGACCCGTCCTGGCAGACCCCGGTGCCCTCAGGGTCTCCCCTCTCGCCATGACACGGACCCCGGCCGTACCTGACACGACCAGCGCCTCATTGGGCCCCACCGTGTGGCAGTTGCCCATGGCGCCCACCTCCTCCTCCTCCTCAGCCGCCCGCTCCCACAACCCGCCGCGCCGCTCGCCACACCCCAGCGCGGCTCCTCGCCCCTGCGCGCCGCCATCTTGGGGAGGTGAGCAGCGCCGCCGCCGCCATCTTAGGGAGGTCAGTGGCGCCGTCGCCGCCATGTTGGGGAGGTCGGCGGTGTCGCCGCCATGTTGGGGTGTGTGTGGGTGTGTGTGTGTGTGTGTGTGTGCGCGAGGTGGGGTGTGAAGGGAAGGGGGCTCCGCGCTGCAGCATCCTTATAGGTGTGCAATGTATGGTGTGTGCACTGCAGTGATTGTGGGTGTGCAACACACAGTGTGTGCACTGCAGTGATTGTGGGTGTGCAACACACAGTGTGTGCACTGCAGTGTGATTGTGGGTGTGCAATGTATGGTGTGTGCACTGCAGTGTGATTGTAGGTGTGCAACACATGGTGTGTGCACTGCAGTGTGATTGTGGGTGTGCAACACACGGTGTGTGCACTGCAGTGTGATTGTAGGTGTGCAAAACACAGTGTGTGCATTGCAGTGTGATTGTAGGTGTGCAATGCATGGGGTGTGCACTGCAGTGTGATTGTGGGTGTGCAATGTATGGTGTGTGCACTGCAGTGTGATTGTAGGTGTGCAACACATGGTGTGTGCACTGCAGTGTGATTGTAGGTGTGCAACACACGGTGTGTGCACTGCAGTGTGATTGTAGGTGTGCAAAACACAGTGTGTGCATTGCAGTGTGATTGTAGGTGTGCAATGCATGGGGTGTGCACTGCAGTGTGATTGTAGGTGTGCAACACACGGTGTGCACTGCAGTGTGATTGTAGGTGTGCAAAACATGGGGTGTGCATTGCAGTGTGATTGTAGGTGTGCAAAGCACGGCGTGTGCATTGCAGTGTGACTGTAGGTGTGCAACACACGGTGTGTGCACTGCAGTGATTGTAGGTGTGCAAAACATGGGGTGTGCATTGCAGTGTGATTGTAGGTGTGCAATGCATGCGGTGTGCATTGCAGTGTGATTGTAGGTATGCAAAACACAGTGTGTGCATTGCAGTGTGATTGTGGGTGTGCATTGCAGTGTGACTGTAGGTGAGCGAGGCATAGTGTACACACCACAGCATGATTATAGGTGTGCAAAGCACAGTGTGTGCATTGCAGTGTGATTATAGAATCATAGAACAGTTAGGGTTGGAAAGGACCTTAAGATCATCTAGTTCCACCCCCCCGCCACTAAGCACTATAGGTGTGCAAGGCACATCGTGCATTGCAGTGTGATTATAGGTGTGCAAGACACAGCGTGCATTGCAGTGTGATTATAGGTGTGCAAGGCATAGTGTGCCCACCAAAGCACGACTATGGGTGTGCAAGCCATGGTGTGTGCACTGCAGTGTGACCACAGGTGTGCCAGCTATGGTGATTATAGGTGTGTACAGCAGGGTGTGCGCACTGCAGTGTGATCACTGGTGTGCCAGCTATGGTGATTATAGGTGTGTACAGCAGGGTGTGCGCACTGCAGTGTGATCATCGGTGTGCCAGCTATGGTGATTATAGGTGTGTACAGCAGGGTGTGTGCACTGCAGTGTGATCATTGGTGTGCCAGCTATGGTGATTATAGGTGTGTACAGCAGGGTGTACACACTGCAGTGTGATCACCGGTGTGCCAGCTATGGTGATTATAGGTGTGTACAGCAGGGTGTGCAAACTGCAGTGTGATCATCAGTGTGCCAGCTATGGTGATTATAGGTGTGTACAGCAGGGTGTGCGTGCGCACTGCAGTGTGATCACCGGTGTGCCAGCTATGGTGATTATAGGTGTGTACAGCAGGGTGTGCGCACTGCAGTGTGACCACAGCGTGCCAGCTATGGTGATTAATGGTGTGTACAGCAGGGTGTGCGCACTGCAGTGTGATCATCGGTGTGCCAGCTATGGTGATTATAGGTGTGTACAGCAGGGTGTGCGCACTGCAGTGTGACCACAGCGTGCCAGCTATGGTGATTAATGGTGTGTACAGCAGGGTGTGCGCACTGCAGTGTGATCACCGGTGTGCCAGCTATGGTGATTATAGGTGTGTACAGCAGGGTGTGTGCACTGCAGTGTGATCACCGGTGTGCCAGCTATGGTGATTATAGGTGTGTACAGCAGGGTGTGCGCACTGCAGTGTGACCACAGGTGTGCCAGCTATGGTGATTATAGGTGTGTACAGCAGGGTGTGTGCACTGCAGTGTGATCAGCGGTGTGCCAGCTATGGTGATTATAGGTGTGTACAGCAGGGTGTGCGTGCGCACTGCAGTGTGATCATCGGTGTGCCAGCTATGGTGATTGTAGGTGTGTACAGCAGGGTGTGCGCACTGCAGTGTGACCACAGCGTGCCAGCTATGGTGATTATAGGTGTGTACAGCAGGGTGTGCGCACTGCAGTGTGATCATTGGTGTGCCAGCTATGGTGATTACAGGTGTGTACAGCAGGGTGTGCGCACTGCAGTGTGATCATCGGTGTGCCAGCTATGGTGATTATAGGTGTGTACAGCAGGGTGTACACACTGCAGTGTGACCACAGGTGTGCCAGCTATGGTGATTATAGGTGTGTACAGCAGGGTGTGCGCACTGCAGTGTGATCACTGGTGTGCCAGCTATGGTGATTATAGGTGTGTACAGCAGGGTGTGCGCACTGCAGTGTGATCATCGGTGTGCCAGCTATGGTGATTATAGGTGTGTACAGCAGGGTGTGTGCACTGCAGTGTGATCATTGGTGTGCCAGCTATGGTGATTATAGGTGTGTACTGCAGGGTGTACACACTGCAGTGTGATCATCGGTGTGCCAGCTATGGTGATTATAGGTGTGTACAGCAGGGTGTGCGCACTGCAGTGTGATCACCGGTGTGCCAGCTATGGTGATTATAGGTGTGTACAGCAGGGTGTGCAAACTGCAGTGTGATCATCAGTGTGCCAGCTATGGTGATTATAGGTGTGTACAGCAGGGTGTGCGTGCGCACTGCAGTGTGATCACCGGTGTGCCAGCTATGGTGATTATAGGTGTGTACAGCAGGGTGTGCGCACTGCAGTGTGACCACAGCGTGCCAGCTATGGTGATTAATGGTGTGTACAGCAGGGTGTGCGCACTGCAGTGTGATCACCGGTGTGCCAGCTATGGTGATTATAGGTGTGTACAGCAGGGTGTGTGCACTGCAGTGTGATCACCGGTGTGCCAGCTATGGTGATTATAGGTGTGTACAGCAGGGTGTGTGCACTGCAGTGTGATCACCGGTGTGCCAGCTATGGTGATTATAGGTGTGTACAGCAGGGTGTGCGCACTGCAGTGTGATCACCGGTGTGCCAGCTATGGTGATTATAGGTGTGTACAGCAGGGTGTGCGCACTGCAGTGTGACCACAGGTGTGCCAGCTATGGTGATTATAGGTGTGTACAGCAGGGTGTGCGCACTGCAGTGTGACCACAGGTGTGCCAGCTATGGTGATTATAGGTGTGTACAGCAGGGTGTGTGCACTGCAGTGTGATCAGCGGTGTGCCAGCTATGGTGATTATAGGTGTGTACAGCAGGGTGTGCGTGCGCACTGCAGTGTGATCATCGGTGTGCCAGCTATGGTGATTGTAGGTGTGTACAGCAGGGTGTGCGCACTGCAGTGTGACCACAGCGTGCCAGCTATGGTGATTATAGGTGTGTACAGCAGGGTGTGCGCACTGCAGTGTGATCATTGGTGTGCCAGCTATGGTGATTACAGGTGTGTACAGCAGGGTGTGCGCACTGCAGTGTGATCATCGGTGTGCCAGCTATGGTGATTATAGGTGTGTACAGCAGGGTGTACACACTGCAGTGTGACCACAGGTGTGCCAGCTATGGTGATTATAGGTGTGTACAGCAGGGTGTGCGCACTGCAGTGTGATCATTGGTGTGCCAGCTATGGTGATTATAGGTGTGTACAGCAGGGTGTGCGCACTGCAGTGTGATCATCGGTGTGCCAGCTATGGTGATTATAGGTGTGTACTGCAGGCTGTGCAAGGCGAGCCCCGCAGCACGCCCACGCCGTCGCAAGGCATTACCGGAGGCCGCTCCATTCACCATGGTCACGTTCAGTGCTGAGCTGCGGCAGTGCCACGCGAGGGCCTGTCCCCATCCCCGTCCCCATCGCCATCGCCGTCCCCGCACAGCCCCAGCAGGCGCTGGCTGCCCTCCCGCAGCTCCCGCGCCAGGCGCTCATCCCCACCGGGCGGGCAGGGGTCCTGTGGGGTGCAGTTGCTGAAGTAGCAGCCGCTGAGGGGCTCGAGCCCATGCTGCAGGGCGCAGTGCAGCGGTGTCCGTGCACCCTCGGCCGCGTCGCGGAAGAAGAGCCGGGCCAGCGGCACCAGGAGCGGCTTCAGCCAGAGCGGAGCGTGCCGGAACAGCCCCGTGTCCACGAGCCCTGCGAGGGACGGAGCAGACGCGTCACACCCTGCACCGCGGGCCCTTTGGATGGGCAGATATAATGGGGTTTTCCCTCGGGTGCTGCCGGCGCTTGGGCAAGGCCGGTGCGTGGTGGAACGGGGCACGAGGGTTTGTGCAAGAAGGGTGCGTGGGTGCGCTGTGCAAAGGGAAGGACCCCGCGTAGGGACACGCCATGGAAGGGGATGCCCCTGCGCAGGGACACACCGTGCGATGGCGTGTTTCATGGCAAGGGTGCACTGCGCAAAGGGATGTTTCACGCCAAGAGTGTGTCGTGCAAAGGGATGCACCATGCAAAGACACAGGCCACGCAGAGGCATGTTTCATGTAGAGGCACGCTGTGCAAAGGCATGTTTCATGTAAACAGGCATGCTGTGCAAAGACACTTCATGCAAAGGGACGTGCTGTGCGAAGGCACGTTTCATGCCAAGGATGCATGGTGCAAAAGGCCACCCTGTGCAAAGGAGGGCACAACATGCAAAGGGATATTCCACGCCCAGGACGCATCGTGCAAAGGGAGCCGCCAGGCAGATCACCCTCCATGCAAGGTGTGCTCCACGCGCTGCCATCATCCACCACGCAAGAAGCCCCCAGTGCAAACCACGCTCCAGGGGACACCCCACGCCAAGAGCACCGCGTCCCTACCTGGGTGCGCAGCATAGCACGCGACGCCGGTGCCCCGCAGGCGCGCGGCCAGCTCGCGGGCGTGCAGCACGTTGGCCAGCTTGCTGTCGCAGTAGTCCTGGAAGGGACCCAGAGGCCCCGGAGCCGGGCTCCCCAGGGTGTGGAGGCGCAGGCGGGCGGCGCGGTGGGCGCTGGAGGCCACGATGACCACGCGGCTGGGTGCACAGCTCCGCAGGCGCTCCAGCAGCAGCTCCGTCAGCAGGAAGTGCCCCAGGTGGTTCACCTGGAACGCCAGGCTAAAGCCGTCCTCCGTCGTGCCCCCGGCGCTCACCCCTGCCGAGGAGGCAATGGTGGCACATGGTGGGTGCTCTGGGGGTGCTGGAGTTGGGGGGGGGGGGGGGTAAAGGGGGTCTATAACTCACCGGCGTTGTTGATGAGGAGGTGCAGGTGGGGTTCTTCACGCAGGAAGGCGCTGGCGAAGGCGCGTACCGAGCGCAGGCTGGCCAGGTCCAGATGCATGAATCGCACATCTGGATTCCCTGTCTCCTGTGGGCACAGCACGGCCTGGGGCAGGGCTGGGGCACCATGGGGTGGGGATGGATCCCACCCAGGTGAGGGAGGGCTGCAGGGTGCTGGGGGTGCCCTGGGGTGCTTGGAGATGTCCTATGGGGTTGTCCCTGGGGTGTGCCGTAAGAGCCTCCGAGGGGTGCCCATGGGGATTCTGGGGGTGCCCATATGATGCCCAGGATGTCTAATGAGGGTGTCTCAGGAGTGCCAGGTGAATGCTATAGGGTTTTCCTTGGGGTGCCCATGTGATGCCCAGGATGTCTAATGAGGGTGTCTCAGGAGTGCCAGAGGAGTGCTATAGGGTTTTCCTTGGGGTGCCCATGTGATGCCCAGTGCTGTCTAATGAGGGTGTCTCAGGAGTGCCAGGTGAATGCTATAGGGTTTCCCTTGGGGTGCCCATAGGGGTGTTCTGGGGGTGCCCATGTGATGCCCAGGATGTCTAATGAGGGTGTCTCAGGAGTGCCAGAGGAGTGCTATAGGGTTTCCCTTGGGGTGCCCATAGGGGTGTTCTGGGGGTGCCCCATGTGATGCCATGGGGGTTTCCAGGGGGTGCCCCAGCTCTCACCGTGCGGATGCGGTGTGCCGCGGCCTCCCCTCTCGGGGCGCTTCGCGTCGCCAGCACGACTCGTGCCCCGCAGCGAGCCAGCTCCAGCGCCGTGGCCTCGCCGATGCCGCCGCTTCCCCCTGCGGAGCAGAGCGCTGAGCGGCGGGGCCGGGTGTGCGGGGCGCTGCCCGGCGCTGCCCGCTGCTCACCGGTGACGATGGCGGTGCGGCCACGCAGCGAGGGCCGGGCGAGGGGCGGCGGGGCTCGGCGCAGCCCGCGGCGGAGCAGCGCCCGCAGGCACATCCCGCTGCTGCCGTGTCCCGCCTCCAGGGGAAGGACAAGGAAGGGCAAGGAAGGGAAGGGAAGGGCGGGGAAAGAGCCGCAGAGACCTTTGGCCCCGGTGGAAGCACGCCCTGGGGTCAAGGCACTCTCCCGGCTGCATGAGGCCCATCACCGTGGCACTGGGCTCCAGCATCCCCCCTCTTCCGAGTTAAAAACTCTACAATGATGGTGGTAAAACACGGGCAGAGCTTGCCCAGAGGGGTGGTGGATGAATCAACCCTGGCAACGTTCAAGGCCAGGCTGGATGTGGTTTAATCCCGACCTCGTTGAGGATGTCCCTATTCACTGCAGGGGGGGTTAGAACTGGATGAGCTTTAAATTCCTTTCCAAGCCAAACCAGTGTGGAGTTCTACGATTCTCCTGCTCTTAACACCCCATCCCTGTAAACATCCAATACCAGCTTGGACTGGAGCAAGTTGGTGCCCTTCAAAATCGTCCTATTACCCTCCACCCCTTCCCTCACCACCACGACTTTCCCATGCCTCCATCCTTCCCGCAGCTCTTCCGTGCTCAGAAAGCTCCATGTTGTGGGGACAAGAGTTAAAGACAAGACAGTCAAGAAAACAGAATGTGAAGTATTTTTTTTTTATATACAGAATACAGGAAAGTTTTCTGTAAAGTCTAAAACGTTACAATTACTATGTACAGTGGAACTAAGCTGTTCTGCGGGGAGGTGGCATAGAAACAAAAAAGGAGACAGACAGGTTACGACAAACGAGCTGCTACAATAGACAATTTGAGGAACGTCATACCACATGTAGCACTGTACACAGCTTTAAAACATTGAAAAAAATGCCATCACTGATGTATTTACACAGAATCCCAACGCTTTTCCTTTGTCTGAAAGAAAAATTAGGATGGACACCAGGAAAAGAACTCATTTCTCACTGCCCATAATACACAGTAGCTACTTGTAGTGCAACCATAGCAGGGAGGGATGGGAGAAAGAAAATAACTGTGGGAAGAAGAAGAGCGCTTCTTTACATTAAATAAAACAATGATATTGTATAGATTTGCTGTATGAAAACTGTATTTCTCTTTTTTTTTAATATAAAACTATTGTCACTGGCACAAAATAGAACAAGTTTCTGATTATTTTACAACTGCATGGGAACTATCTGTCAGGGAGAGTCCTCGAGTCAGACAGCGGTCGCCCCTCGCTCTGACACGACCTGCTCTCGCTGCAGTTTTCCTTTTTAAAATGAAATGTATAGTACAAATATATGTGCAAATGCCCCTAAAACTTGAGCAAAAAAATGAAAAAAAAAAAAAAGTTAAAATTAAAAAAAGTTAAACGTTCTTCATTTCATGCAAACGGCGTGTGAACAGTCTCTGGGCCGACACACAAAATCCCACCTTGGTTTTGTACAGTTTTGCATTGCAACAGTCTGAAGGTGTTTTTATTTTCCTTTACTCCAAAAGGTCTCTTCCTAAAAAAAATTCCTAGGGAACGGAGTTGGACCGCAGCACGGGCACCTGGTGGGGTTTCAGAGAAAGCTTCTCCTCCAAGTCCATGTCTTGTACTAAGGCAGTGTCCCCCTTGGGCTGTTTGGTCGCAAATTCAGTGATGCTGAAAACAAACTGCAGGCAGCCCAGCTTGATGTAACTGCCGTGGTGGAGCAGTGCTGTCCCCTCCCAGCCAGCCCCGCTGCCCCCTATTAAGCTGGAGCTGCTGGCTTTGCAGTTACAGGGTTTCCTATGCTGTCCTTGTGCCTGGGAACTCATCACAGCAGCTTCTTCATGCGGCTCCTCTTCTTGTTTTCTGCTTTTATGTCGCTCTGGAAAAGGAAAGTGGTAACGTGTGAAGTTTAGGTGGGCTGTGGCAGCTTGTTTTCATCAACAGGCTTACTGCTGAGGTGCCTTGGGTAAGATCCTCCAGCAATGAGGTGTTTCAGTCCTCTGTAGGGAGTGGGTGATAAAGGGAAATGGGAATCTCCCCACAGCCCAGAGAGGTAAAGGCATTTACACATCTACTTTAACAGCCAAAACAAGAGGGAGCTGATAAAGTGGAAAGCAGGAGTAGGCCATCTGGGGATGGGATGCCCGTAGCACAGCCCAGATCGCTTACTCACAGCCTGGAAGGGGAAGACGTGGGGAAAGCCACTGGTCCAGCTCTGAACCAGAGCTGATGTCAGGCAGGGACCTCAGCACGGTGTAACTCTGCCACTGGAGGCAGGAGCAGGGTTTAGAGCAGAGCCTGGGCCCTGCACAGGCTGCAAGCCAATGGAGAGGCTTCCCCTTCACAGAGAAGCTGGGGCTGCCCCATCCCTGACAGCACCCAAGGCCAGGCTGGACACAGGGGCTTGGAGCAAGCTGCTCTAGTGGAAGGTGTCCCTGCCCGTGGCAGGGGTTGGAGCTGGAGGAGCTTTAAGGTCCCTTCCAACCCAAACCATTCCTTGATTCTTGCAAGGGGTTCACCAGCTGCTGCAGAAGAAGGGCCACCAACAAGGAATCGATCTGCACCTCCTCCCATGCCCTTCTAAGAGCTCCCTGTGATCATACATGGGGCTGGTGCTGCCTCAACACTCACTTATCACACTCTGCACTTTGGCAACAATACTGCTGGGAGGAGTGGGAGTCATCTTCTCTGAGAAGTCACACGAATACAGAACGTTGTCCACGGTCGTCCCATGCTCACTGTAGTTCAACAGCTCGTAATGTTTCGTATTCTGAAAAGAAGAAAAAGGGAGGAAGTGGGAATCAAGACATCAAGTCAGAAAGGTGTCTGCCCATGTACCCTTTTGGAGCACTGAAACACAACCCCTCTCTCCCTCCTGCTGGTGGTGGTTAAATAAGAGCAGTTAAAATATCCTCCAGCTTCAGGGACCACCAACCCGACCCTCGTGAACGGCTCATGCTGACAGAACAGCTTTCCAGCAAGAGCAGGTTCTCCATAGGGAAGCAAAGCCAGAGCAGCTTTGAAGAGAAGCGAGTTTTCCTATTGCACTTGGACCAGCAGATCTTTGGGAAGCAGGGATGCAAGCTGGTTCTCCCAAAGGGAGCGCATCATTTTAACAGGCACACTAAATGCAAGCTTGGCCTGAGACCTGTGCCTAAGCAGGGAGGAGATGCACTTTGGAAAGCAGACACAAGATGGCAAGAGGGATGGCAGCGTGCTGCAGCAGCTGCAAGACAGAGGCAGTCTGAAATGCCAGGAGACATTACCCTGACACGCAGCATTACACCAGCAGCGTCACGCTCAACTGAGCTTTGCAGAGGATGTTGACAGAGCGGAGGAGGTTTCAGGTTAGCTCACAGGAATCGTATGAGGCCTGAAAACCCTGTCCCCCAGGGGCTACAGAGCTTGAATAAGTTACAAAAGCTTCCCGTGCACAGAAGAGTGAGTTTTCAAGTAACCTGTTAAGCTGCAGAGACCAAGGGCTGCCAATGGGCAGAAGCAGAAACAGCAAACAGAGCTAAGGAAGAGGAAATTCTCCTTCTAGAGCAACCACAGCCATAGGAGGCCTGCTGGAGTGTGGAAGAAGTTCAGTGCCTAGAGCCTGATTTAGGACTGACCACTGTGAGGAGATGCTTCTACACAGATTTAAGGTCTGGATCCCATTACTGAGTGCGTTCTGTAACTTGTAGTGCACTGGAGGAATGGCCAAAGCTGGCTGTGGGTTAATCCTGGATGCTGCTCAGTAACTGTTTGACTAATGGAGATATAAAAGACTCTATCTTGCTTCAAAGACTGTTTCCATGCTAAGAGACATCTCCAGCAGCGCTTTTATTGGCAGCCCCACCAGCCTGTTTACTTCAAGAACAAACTAATCTCAGGCCTGTAGTCAAGGAGCAACTGCAGACCTCTGTTTATGCTGAGAGCTTCACTGAAATCCAGTTCAATAAAGAATTTACAGAGTACTGCAGATGGCATGAGCGCTCAGCAGCACTGCCACACCTGAAAGCAGAGCCTGGGAGGAGTTCCCTGCCTTGTTCCAGCTGAGGTCTGATGTCGACACGCAGCTGGATCGAAAAGCATCAAACCATTTCCATGACTTTTTCTTTCCCTGGACACGAAGCAGTGACAGTGCTTACTTGTGGTCAGGCTTTGTCCACAAGCAGTTAGCTCAGAGGAATCACGCTGGCAGAGCTCTGGGCTTCAGAAAAGGGTTTGACAGAAAACGCTGACGCAGCCTTCGATGGAGTGAAACCATTCACAGCCCTGGCTCTTTACTTTGTAGTCCACAAAGGAGCCCCACACAAAGGCAACCTGCTGCCTGCATCTCCAGCTCTCCCACTGCTGTGCATGCCAAATAAGAAACCCCCAAACCAAGCAACACTCAAGCACTCACCTCATCGTAGAATATGCAGGCATGTTTGCCAGACACGTAGTTACAGTGACCATAGCTTGTAAGGCACACATCCATATCAGCTCCTGTCAATAGGAAGGACAAAACAAGCTCAGTTCATTCCAGAGGCAGAAAAAAACTGTCAGGCAGCAGAGAACAACAGACAGAATTAAACTTCAATTAGCAAAACAACAGGGGAGCAACTGCCTTTGTCTGAGCTCCCAGGACTGCATGAATAATGCCTCGATAAGCCACAGAACAAAGTTTCAGTGGGGGAAGGGAAGGCTAGCAGCTCCAGGGAGGCTGAAGAGCATTTCAGCTCTTGGGTCTATCCAGAGCACTACAAGAATGTAGGCAAACATATGAAACCTGCAAGCAAACCATAAGCTCTTCTCTCCATCAGTCAAGCATTACATCTCCAGGAGAGCCACCCTCTGATACCAGCCAGGTTACAAAGGTGCAACCCCATGAACGTTCAAGTGGATGGGGAATATTGCCATGTTT